TAAACAATCCAGTTGTATGTTCATCTTTGTCAATAAACAGGAACCAGTTACAACCTGCTTAAATTGATACCTTGGAGACTAAGACAAAATATTCCATGGGTGCCAACAAGTGTTGGCTGAGACAGTGACCCGACACCCTGAAAAGGGAATGAAAAGGAGAAATGTGTAACTTCACCCAAGGATTCCTTGACTTTAGACCTACTCCCTTCCCTGCCCCTCACCTCACAGGCAAACGGTGTATTAAAGGACTCCAGACTCTGCTGGCTCTGTCACCGTAGCTGTTCTATCCTTGGAAAAGTAATGCACATCTCTAGCAGAAATTGAGAAGAGATGGTGAGCATATAAGAGGCATGTGTGTTAGTAATATCGCAGCTCAGTGTTGGGACATGAGTGTACCTAGGGGAAAGGTTGGTAAGTCATCTGCATTTCCCTTTCTGCTGCTGCTTTCGCTCAGAAAGTGCATCTCATTACCATGGAAACGGCACAGATTCCTGTCAATCATCCCGAGACAGGATGCTTCTCTTTTCATCACCTGGAGTTCTGCACCTGTCATGTGCCATGCCTCATTTGGAGACATTCTCCCTGGCTCCAAACACACTGACATCCTGCCTAAAATAGCACCCACAACTCCACCTAAATGCACTCAGTATTATAGGCTTTCAGCTCAGGTCAAGCAGACAGAGAAGGAGAAGGCGTAAGCCAAAGACACTAAAGGCAGCCAAAGTGGGTGGGTCAGCTGCCATATAGAGAGAGGAGAATGGTCCACCACAGCCTTGCACATGAGGCCTGCTTCCCAGGACTCTTATGTTGCCTGTGGGTGTCACAGGAACCAGCCTTTGGGTTGTTTAATGCAAGAGCACTCATGTATAAAGTACGTATGCGCTATGATCTATTGATGCTCCTGACCTTGCTCGCACAGATGGGATGTGCTCATTGCTGATACTGCAGGGCAGGCCTCGCAGGCTTGTGCAGGAAGTCTACAAGCCTGCTGACTCCCTAGGGAATACCACCCACGCTCACAATAATGGTCTGACCTTTATCAGCATCCATTGACAACTACCCTTGATACTTGATATTCAAATCACTCTTCTAGTAGTACCATTTGGGGGGGG